GAACTTTTTAAATTAATTTTATTTAAAGTACATTCACGCTGTAAGAATATATTACGAGGAAAAATAATCTTGTAAATTGAATGGAACATGTCTTTTTTAAAATAATTTTCTATATATAATTTCTTTGAATATTTTTCTAAAGGCTATTTAAGAATTACGTAAGTACTATACGAGGCGGGGGGCTTTACTTTGCTTATTTTTGATGACATGGGAACGAAGGGTCTAGATGGGGATTATGTCAATAGTAATTATTTACTTTTTTACACGTATTGCCACTCAATAAAATATGGCGTGCTTGTGCAAATTATAAAGAATTGTAATTCGAAAACAGATAGACTTACTTTTGCTAGACAGAACACTGTAGATCAGAATTGCGAAGATAGCCGGCAATCTCTCTGATTTTCTGATTTAAAAACAATTTAATACCAATATTAATAAAAACAAAACATATTAAATTGACATCTACTCTCCTTTCTGACCACTGTTTTTGTTTGTGATACAAATTTATGTTTTATAAATGTATTTTAGGGTTTCTTTAATCAATTGTAGGGACAAATATAAACCCAGCTCATACGTAACGATAGATGAACAACTAGTTGGTTTCAGAGGTCGCTGTCTTTTTCGTATGTACATACCTTCTACATCTGATCGTTATCGAATTAAAATAGTGATGATGTGTGACAATTCAACGAAGTATATGATTGATGCCATCCCTTATCTTGGTGAGCAAGCTTTACAGATTTAGGGAAACCAATAGCACTACTAGGGACTACTTTGTTGAAAATTTAGTATCGTCAATAAAGGGATCAAATCGTAATGTTACTATGGATAACTGGTTTTGTAGTGTACCTTTAGTAACAAACTTACTTGTAAACTACAAACTTACTGTTATTGGCACTATGGAGAAGAATAAAAAAGAATTACCCCCCGAATTTTGTGATATTCATTTTCAAGAGAGGAAACCAGGAACATCTTTATTTTTGTTTGATCAAAATATGAGCTTAGTTGAAAACTGTGAACAATTATTCACATCAAGCAAGAAGTCTTTGTTAATTTTTTTAAGGTACCTACTGTCTTTTTTATTATAAAGATTAGCGTGTTTTTTTTTAGTAAATCTTCCAACAAAACGTTTTCCATTTTAATTAATGTTAATATAAAAAATAGACTAAAGAATGTGATATCCCTTTTTATCGTTGTGGTAAAAATGAAAACCACTTGATGATACCACGCAGTAAAGTTTTACAACTATTAATCAGAAAAATGTCGTGATGTACCATATTTAATGATATTAGGAAAATACATATTCATGCTTGTCTCTCAGTCTTTTAGAAGTTGGCAAACAGTCTACGTGATAACTTGATCAAACTTTCCTACATTTAGCACATTCGTGTTAATGAGAGCAGTAGCTTATGAGAATATTACTGGTAGTTAAAGGAATTTATTCACATTTGTAGACGTCTACTCGTTTGGCCATAAACTCAGACGAGATTTATATATTTTAATTAATTAAGTGTAAGAAACAAAGGAATTTATACAAAAAATATATCTATACAAGTACATTCAGAGAATAGATGACTTAAAACTGTAGTATATACGAGGGTGGATTGATATAAAACTAGCCTTTGATATAAAAAACAAGTTTTTTGGAATTAAATCGATTTATTTCTCAACATAGTCCCCTTTTAGTTCGATACACTTAGTAAGAAGATGTTCCAATTTTTTTATCCCATCCGAATAGTACTTTTGCTCGAGCTCTTCAAAATGGCCGAAGTTTTAGCGACGACTTTATTATTTGTTGCGAAACGGTGTCTTCCAAGCCATTTTTTTAGGTTTGGAAACAGGAAAAAATCGCTGGCGACAAGATCTGGGAATACGGTGGGTGTTCATCCAATTTATAGCCCAATCCGTGTAATTTTGCCACGGCGACGGGCGATCAGTGAGCCGGTACATTGTCTTGTAGCAGCTGATAATGCAGTCATCAACTGCATTATCTTATATCTTATATCTGCTTCCTCTATTATATGCCCCAGATATTCGAGTTTTCTCTTTTTTATCATCTTTATTAAGTCACCTTCATCTTGACTCACTCTGTTCAAAACTTCTCTGTTTGAAATGTGTTGAACCCATGATATTTTGAGCATTCTACGATATAACCACATCTCGAAGGCTTCTAATTTGTTCATCATGTTAACCTTCATAATCCAGGTTTCACATCCATACAGTAGGGCTGGATATACATAACATTTTAGGAACTTAATTCTCACCTGTAAATTCAGCTGAGAATTGCTCAGAATAGATCTCAGTTTCATAAATGCTCCTCTTGCAATTTGTTATCGGTTCATTATTGACAATTAGTGGTATAGCGCCGAGGTCTTGTTTACTAACCACAAGTAACTTTGTCTTTGTTGTATTTATGCTTAGTCCGTTATTAGAGCATTCTCTAGTGACTCGATCTATAAGGAATTGAAGATCTTCGATACTTGCAGCCATGATCGCGATGTCATCTGCATATCTGATGTTAATAGCTTCTCCCTCGATTCGAACTCCACATTGCTCTTTGATGTCGTACATTTTGTTTTAGAGGCGAATTAAATTCATTTAAAAGTCTTTGTAAAAGTTCAGGCATAAAAACGAAACGTCAAATGAAGAATCTATTTTATAACTTGTGGGTTATTTCTCAAGTGAAGTATTTACTAAAAAAATAAATTTTAGATTTATTGGTATCATCATCATCATATAACGGGGGTCCTCCGACGACTGCTGCTTCCAGCATTTCATCCTCCATCTTTTCCTATCTCTCCAGTCTCTCTCTTCTAAGCCTCTAGATTGCATTGTTTTTGTAATTTCTCTTCTCCAGGAATTTGGTGGTCTTCCCCTTTTCCTTCTTTCTGGCGGAACATACATTAAGGCTTTCTTTGGCCACCGCTCCTCCTCCATTCTCATCACGTGACCATACCATTGTAATTGCATTCCCTGTATTCTATCTGAAAGAGTATCTCTAATTCCTGTACGGTTTCGTATTTCCTCATTCCTGATTCTTTCCATTCTCGATACTCGACATGACCTTCTAAGATAATCCATTTCCACAACGTCTACTTTATCTCGTTCATTCTTTGTCATCATCCAACATTCGGCACCATATGTGATAATCGGTTCTACAATTGCTCTGTAACACGAAGTTTGGTATGCATCTTTATTTTATTAGACCACAGTAATGAATTCAGTATTCGGATGCATTTTTTCCCTTAGGTTATTCGGTTTTGTACATCTATCTTAACTCTGCCATCTGCTGATATGATGCTTATTAGATATTTATAATGGTTGCAACATGTTATGACTGCGTTTTCAAGCCTCAGATCTGTGGTATTTTCTCCAATTTTTATATATTCTGTTTTTCTTATGTTTACAGTAAGCCCCCATTTGGCATATTCCTCAAATAATTTTCGATTTATATAATTTATATCTTCCTCATCGGTTGCAACCACCACCTGATCATCTGCAAACAACAATGTATACAGAGTTTCTTGTCCCACTTCGATGCCCATAAATCTACATTTATTTCTCCAATTCCTCAATGCTTCTTGGACGTATATTTTAAAGAGTGTCGGTGACAAACAGCATTCTTGCTGTATGCCTTTAGTGACTTTAAATTCATTTGAAGTTCTGGTTCCAATTTTTACACAACTAACTGCATTTTCGTACAGTTTATATATCGCTCGGATATACGTCGAATCCAATCCGGACCTTTCGAGGACCTCAAACATTTTCTTTAACGGGACAGATTTATTGGTAACTTTTTCTATAAATATGACTATATAACTATTTAAATAATATTATTATTATTGTAAAAGTTTTGGACCAAACGGACTCGTTTCTACATTATCAACCCCACATCATATAATAAGCTATTTTGTTATTTATAATAACCATAATAACATTAATTATAAGGCAAAAGACAATGATTAATTAAATTTATAGAAAAAACACCGATTTGTACTGAAATAAATTAAATACATTCAAATGAAATATAATGAACTCTGGAACTCTAGTACAATATGTAACCTCAAATGGATCAAACAATGCGATGTTTATATTAATTTAATAATTTAATAGTTTTCCAGGGAAAACAGTAATTTCCATTCTTGATTTTAATTAATGTTAAGTCAATATTAGGCCACCATAGATCAATTAAATTTAACAACATATCAGGGTAAACTAGTTTAAAATAATCTGAGACAAAGGTGACATTTTTTGACATTTAATGTCATGCAAAATAGCATGCAACTTATCTGCATAACACGAAAAACATATTCACTATTGGTTGTTGGAAAAAGCATAGACGCAAAAATACTCACACTCTTCTTGAATGTTATCGATTTATGACAACTTACATACCTTCAATACTACAGAAAATTATGTAAAAAGATATGATTCTTGAGAAAAACATTGCACAAAGTTAATGTATGTATGTATATGTTTCGATATCCTGTTAAAGACCAAACTATATACTGTTGTATAGTCGCTGTTATCATCCAGCCTCAAAAGTACACTGCTGAACATGATCTCTTTCTCGTGTTTCCAATCCATTCTATTTTGCATCACTCTTATCCAATTTATTTTGACTCCTTGATACAGCAGTGCATACAAACTCATAATGCGGCGACTGTCCAAAAACTTACATCGGACAAACTGGTAGAACTTTTGTCAAACGTATAGCAGAACATAAAAGGGCTTTCAATAATAGAAAAACAGACTCGAAGTACGCATTTTACCTTCTAGACCATACTGATACTAAGTTATAATCATCATTAGTCTTCATCAAGAAATCAGCATCAATTTTTGTCGTCGATGTTATCTACAGATTGTTTCCATATCTATCCATTAGATTTTTCGACGAGATACCTTACAATTTAAGTCCATTTTAGTGTATATATGTTCTTATTACATGATTACGAATTCAGTAGATCAATTTAATAAAATTATATTTTCTCTTGTTCCAGATGAACCCAGAATTCGCTCAGGAACTTGGGAAGAGCCGACATGTGAACATAGGGTGGCGCCCCCGCTTACTCACTCCCGTACCCTGCAACACACTGGTTCTCAGAGGAGTTCTGAGGACAGTTGGTGTTCGGGGTCCGATCCAGAGCTGTCTTCGGACGAGGAAAGCGATAGAAGCGCCGCATCCAGTAATAGGTGAGTAGTTATTATCATATAATTGTATTATATTGTATTTCTTGGTTGCTGTATTGAACACTTTGTATTAATCTTTGGAGCTCGTCTTGTGTCTCGACGATTAATGCGACGTCGTCTGCGTAACATAATATTTGGATTTCTTCGTTCCCCATTCTGTAACCATGATAGTAGAGTAAATAGACTGGCAAAAGGCTTCTAGAATAGATTTTGGTGGGCACTTTGTTGCTAAAATGTAAAACCTATTTTTTTTTTCGTTTCTAATATCTTTCTAATGCAAAATCACTTGGTCGTCCAAAAATCGTAGCGGGAGGGGAGTGGTGGGGAGCCTTACAAAAAAAAGTGCTAATTTTTTTTCGTCATTTTTCGGATCTACGATAACCGAAAATTCATTCCTTAAATTTTCATGTTGATCTGGACATTAGAAATATTTTTATTTTATTTATAAAAATACGTCAAACCATTGTTGTATACGGAGCGCCTTCATACAAAATCACTTAATCTGAAAACCCATATTTTTAAAATCTTTTACCTCGCTCTACCTCGAGAAATATTGGGTTTAGCAAAAAATTACTTTCTATAAACATTATAGATCAAAAATCAGAAAACACGTGGGTTTTTTTAGAATTTCGATTGGATACTTAGTTTAAGAAAAAATTAAATAAATCGAACGGCATGTCAAGACGGACAGTGCTGAACGCAGAGATGCGAGGAAGGGCGAGATTTCTAATCTGAAGTCAAAGCAAATCGACTCTAGTGATGGCGATGTTGTTAGGGTCGATTTTACATTGAAACGCTGTTGTGTTGTATATTCTATTGCAAAAGTGCATCATTGTGCATTATTTTTTACTAATAGCGCGAAATCCACTGAGCTGAGATTTTTAATATTAAAAGTTTTAAATTATTAAAAGTTATTAATTAGCTTATTGCTATAATAAAAATATTAAATCTTCTTCTTCTCTTCTTCAGCCTGTTTGCATCCACTCCTGGACAAAGGCCTCCCCATGAGTTCTCCACTCTTCCCTGTTTTGTGCTATTTGGTGCCAGTTTCTCCCCATTTTTGCTTTGATGTCGTCTAGCCATCGTTTTTGTGGTCTTCCTCTACTCCGACTGTGTTCGCGTGGTCTCCAATGTACCATGTTTTTCGTCCATCTGTCGTTGTTTTGCCGTGCCACGTGCCCTACCCAGTTCCATTTCATTTGTGCAATTCTTCCAATTACATCTTCCACCTTCGTCCTGCTTCGTATGTCCTCGTTTCGTATATGTTCTCTCAGTGATACTCCCAACATAGCTCGTTCGATGGCCCTCTGTGTTGTTCTTAATCTGTTGGCTGACAACTCTGTAAGTGTCATGGTCTCCATTCCATAAGTCATAACCGGTAGAATACAACTGTTGAATACCCTTTTCTTTAGATTTATTGGTATCTTTTTGTTCTTCAACACATCACTGAGTCTGCCTACTGCTGCCCAAGTCATTCGGATTCTTCTAGTTATCTCTGCTGTTTGATTCTGTTTGCCTAGTTTGATGGTGTGACCTAGGTATATATACTCTTCGACACTTTCGATCTCACTTCCATCTAAGTCGATTGTGATATTTTGATTTGTCATTACTTTTGTTTTATTTAAATTCATTTTTAAACCGATTTTTTCAGATTCTTGTTTAAGCTCCTTCAGCATGTAGATTAGTTCCTCTGTATTGTTGCTTATGAGTACTATGTCATCGGCAAATCTTAGGTGGCTTAAAAACCTGCCATCAATTTTAATTCCGAGTTGTTCCCAATTTAACTTCTTGAACACATCTTCTAATGCAAGAGTAAATAATTTTGGAGATATGGTGTCTCCCTGTCGAACACCTCTTTCTGATCTTATTTTGTTTGTTGTTAGGCCTTCTGCTACATTTATTTGCATAGTTGCATTGTCGTATATGTATTTTAGGAGCATTCTATATCTGGAATCTATCCTTGCGTTGTTCATTCCGTCTAATACCGCCCAGAATTCTATGGAATCGAATGCCTTATTGTAATCCACAAATGCCAAATGAAGAGGTTCATTGTATTCGTTACATTTTTCAATAAGTGTCCTTATTGTCTGTAGGTGTTCTATTGTACTATAACCTTTGCGGAAACCCGCTTGTTCAACAGGCTGGTAACTATCAAATTTGTTTGATAGTCTGTTGGTAATTATTTTGGTAATCAGTTTGTATGGATGTGGTAACAGGCTTATTGGTCTGTAATTTTCGAGTTTGTGTTTGTCTCCTTTCTTGTGTAGTAAAAGTACCTGCGCGTTTTGCCAAGAGGTTGGAATAGCACCCCCGAATAGGCACTTGTTCAGTAAGATTTTAACTGCCTCCATAGTAGTTTGACCTCCAGCTGTAATCATCTCTTTTGTTATTCCGTCGTCTCCAGGAGATTTTCCATTTTTCATTTGCTTTAAGGCATTTACAACTTCCTCGGTAGTAATTTCTGGTAGTGTTTCAGATCCTACATTTAGTATTCTTCGTTCCGTATCATGGGTTTCAGGTTTTGCTACGCTGGACGAGTATAATTCTGTATAATAATCTTCGACAATGAAAAAAAATATTAAATATCTACTTAATATTAAAGTAAATATTTTTTTCATCTAGAAACGGATTTAACGAAAAGCAGCAGGTCTAACAGTGAACTTGAGTCAAAAATCAGATTAAGGCATGTTTTTTTTCATAAAGTCCATTTCCTTTTCAGTTTGTTGAAGGACGCGGAAACTGGAGAATACATTTTTGTTCTAGTTTTCGAAAAATGCATCCTTACTTCTTTGCATTTGGCCATGTGAACTATTCTTTTTGGGGAACATTATATTTGTTGGACATGTACAAATTTGCTGATAAGTATCCAGAATTTCATAAAGACTTTATTAGAGGAAATTTTGTTGTGAAAAGTTTGAACAGAAACTTTTACCAACTGTTTGTAGATATAGCTTTAAACACATAAATACAAACTCAAAAGATGCAGGAGGAATCGTGTGATTTACTAAAACCAGCACAAAACTAGACGAATGGTTTTTAAGCTACAATATCATTGGCATGATGGTAGATGAATTTCGTGCATCATGAGACCTAAGCAACCACTCAAGTCAAAACGTAGAAAGTAAAAAAAAAAAAAAACGGATGAAAATTGATGAATATTCTGTACAAAAACTACATGATCAGTTTTTACGATTTAATGTATTTTTAAAAAGCGTAGATCGTCTTCTCGTAATTTCAGCTAATGAGATTGTATCGCCAAATGTTCAAACATCCTTACTAAATATACAAAAAAAAATGAAAAAGAGAGCCTAGCAAAATTTATTGTTACTGTTGGAACTCAAAATTTTTATCAGCAATAGAAAAGAGAATAATCTTCCAACACTTCCGTCGCGCAGATACCTATAAAACTGTCTCTGAAAAGAAGAAAATTATTCAAGCTGAGCAAGAATGTTTACAAAAAATACTAGCAACCAAGACAATTGAAAGAGATATAAATATTATGAGGAAATTTTCAAATAGGAATTGACAGCATATCCAATGGCACTTGTACCAGCAGGAGTTTTATTGATACCATAAAATAAATCTACCTTAGGTTATATAATAGAACACTTTATAGTTGTTACAAAATCACAAAACGTGTCACATTTTTGATGGTAAGTGAATTTTGAAATCAATAGTGTTCAAGAACCCCTACAGCGTTTAAAAGGATCGATTTTGTTTTGGATCACTACAAGGAATCTTCCATAAAAAACTGCACGAGACAAAAGATAGGCGCCAAAATTGAATCAATACAACGGTTAATTAAAGGTCCGGATACAGTATTACCTCAAAAATGGAATTAATTTATTAATTGAATTTTTAATAAAAACCAGCTTACACACTTCGTAAGCAATCAGATAGTTAAATATTTCTTAAACAAATTGTACCACTCACTTCGTATCCAGCAGAGGATTTTGCGACGTTTTACATTACAAAACAAATTTTGGTTTGAATTCTGAAATATTAGTCTCATCACATAAAGAGGCCGATAATATTACACATTCTGTCAGCAAAAATGGAGGGATATACAAAATGTATAGTCGACTGTAAAGTTACGGATGTGCCCATTTTAAAGAACTTTCAACTCCAGAAGTTTAGATGAGGTTTGGAACAAAGGACAACGAAAGATTTATAGGTATCCATAAACTCTCTATGGATTACTTCCTAAGGAAATGTTGACCAGCTTTTCATATTGGAAGGTATTTCTATTAAATTATAGTCTCCTATCTAGAGTGGGAAGTGAAGAATATTTGAGCAAAGATGTTTTCGATGATATGATATTGTTAAATCTGTTATTCTTCTTTATACACCTAACGACAATATTAAGTGTATTAATACTCTAAGAGGTATTTTGGCCACTACGAAGCCTATTCATAAACTGCCTCCTACTTTAGACAGTCTGAGGCAACACTGCCTTCGTATACACTTCCAGACGAAAATATGGCTATGTAGTGCGACACCAAGACCATGTCTGCCAAATCCGTTGCTAAGTGGCTGGAGTAAACAAAATGGAGAGCTGGTACCAGTTTTAAAGCACGGAACCCATGTTGACGAAAGATACATATATTTTGAATAGTTTTAAATGTAAAAAAGGTGAGTCAACTTTTGCCTTTTTATGTGAAGAATAATTATATTAGCTTTTTTTTATAATTTTCAGACTGTACAGGGCCCCAATGCTCGTGTAAAAGTAAACAGATCAAATGCATTGGTTCTTGTAAATGGGTGGCCCAGGCGAAATGTGACAATAAAGGTAATATACGTGAAACAATTTTGTGTTCTCTGATTTTTGGTCTATAATGTTTATAAAAAGGAATTTTTTGCTAAACCCAATATTTTTCGAGGTAGAGCGAGGTAAAAGATTTTAAAAATATGGGTTTTCAGAACAAGCGATTTTGTATGAAGGCGCTCCGTATACAACAATGGTTTGACGTATTTTTATAAATAAAATAAAAATATTTCTAATG